CATCAGCGTGAAATTCTCAACAGCATCAAACAATGCTCTTTTTCTCAGCAAATAAAAAGATAAATATATACCTGTAGACTAAAGTAAAAGAGGTAAACCAGCCAATTATAAGATATAGACCATATTTGAGTTTTGTTTTAAGAGGTAGAAAATATTTTTTAAAAAATCATAACAAAAGTAAATGTGAAATGTAGTGTAACATATTTGAGAATAACAAAGACATAATGACTTTAGATATAACCAACATTTTAGATATGGTTAATTTTATAGTTAAAAGGTACTAATCGTTAAAAAGTTGCCTACCAAATTATTAACAGATGAAAATATATTATATTTGAGATCAGCTTCCAAACAGCTTACGGTGACTACTAAACAGAGAATAATGAAGCAAAATGTGAGCTGGTAGTTGATGAAGATAGATGATGTATCTTACTCAAGGTCGTTACACCAATACCTCTAATTGCTAGTGTTCTTGGGATTGTTGTAGCAAAAGGATAAAGTTATTCCTGTGTAAATCAATACATGATAAATTGAGAAGGCCTTTGAGGAATCAGAAGTCATAAGTGCATATTTTTCTGAATGAAACAGTTCTTTCAGACATTTTTATAAAAAATTTTACTAAATATTGAATATGGATTCCCTTAAATGAAGCCACCCTTTCTCCACACAGAACGACTGGTGGGTAAGATTAGGCCTTCTTGTGAGAAAACAGATTAATCAGTAAAGTAGGTGGGGCCAATAAAAGACACAGACATGTAAAAAGATAATTTTAAAAATTGTGTCTACAGCTGGGCAGTGGTGGCACATGCCTTTAATCCCAGCACTCGGGAGGCAGAAGCAGGCGGATCTCTGGGAGTTCGAGGCCAGCCTGGTCTACAAGAGCTAGTTCCGGGACAGGCACCAAAGCTACAGAGAAACCCTGTCTCGAAAAAAAAAATTGTGTCTACAAATATGGTTGCTAGGTGTCTTTATTTTCTACAAGGCCCGATTTATGAGAAATCTAATAGAGAATATGCATGCTATTAAACAGTCTCCTTGAAATATTTGTATAATTCAATTTTCCATTCTTGATAGTTTTTTGGTATTACCTTCACTTTCAACTCACACACTTTAGTTTGAGTATTGAGCCTAGACAGACAGATCTTTGGAAATATTCACAAATGTTTTAGGGTAGGGGAAGTGACTTAATGGATAAATTGCTTGTGAAACAAAAATGAGGTCCAAAGTTTGGATACCTGGAACATACTTAAATGCAAGGATTCAAGACAGCCCCGCTGTCATCTAGAGGCAGAGGTAGGATTCCTGGCACACTGTTGACCCAGACTTGTCATAACTGATCATCTTCATTTGCCAATTGTCCAGCCTCAGGAAGTGAAGTGGAAAAAGTCAAGGAAGACAAAGTCAAGGCTTTGGACCTCCACAAACATGCACACATATTATATATTGTATTACTTACAATATCACATTGTATATCACATGATATCATATATTGTATTACTTACAGTAAATACTCAAAGGTCCATGGAGATTTAAACCTTGATGCGTGGTTTGAGAGCAGAATCAGCTATGGAGGAGCTAGGCGGTCAGCATCTTTGTAGACTGGTTACATATATGAAATTCTTTACACAGGATGTATTGCAGAAATTGTATCTGAACTTCGCCAAATATTTATCACCATAGCTAGAATGTTTATTAGAGTATCTTTCTGGTATAATAGTGCTCATAATGGTCACTTTAAAATCTGCTACCCAGGCTTATAAAGGATTATTACAATGTCTTTCCATCAACAATATTAAAAACATTCATCTGTGGTAAATGTTATAAAGAAATTTAACTATAATGCTGATCTAAATACTTAAGTAAATTGAAGAAATAGTGTTATACGACAGACTACCAAAGATTTAAAAATCTTTACAAAGGGGTATTTCTTTAATCAATCGCCTGATAATATTTCTTAAAATTCAACTAAATAAATATCAGCGTACATTTCTCTGTTACTCATTAATGGTTTTTGTCATGGTTCCTGGTAGTTGGCAATGCATTTTATATGACATGAACTAGAACTGTACTGTCCAATATTATAGCTGCTCGTCATGTGGACTCTGCAAGTACAATAAAATACATGCAAAATTTGCTTCCTCTGTTCCATAGCCAGAAGTCACCAATGGCCACCTTATTACAAAGTGAAGATACAAAGGATTTGAAGCATTGCTGAAATTTCTGTTGAACAGCATTAGTTCACATTAGTGAGATCACTACTGATGAACAGAAACTGTGAAATGTGGGCTTTCTCTAAGTTTCTTTGATGTTAATATAGAAGTCTAGGAACACATACATTAAAACTGCATGCATAGCATCTTAGTGTCAGGGCCTTTTCTCTTCTGTCTGTGAATGTATCTAAAAACATTCCTTCTTTTCTAGAAAATGAAATATTCCCTCTCCTCAGCCAGTCTTCAATGGTTTGTTCAACACAATGATCTAGGCTAACTTTTTCTGCCTCACACTTTATGTAAGCTTATTCTGAAGCTAGAATTTCTGTTTCAGACATCAAGATCACTGACCTCAGACTTTGTACTTGTAAATTTTTTCACTAGAACAAAAAACTAACATCAAAGTTGTTTCATAGGTTCAAAATTATTTAGGTTTCTTCAAAATTCCAGCAACTTCTTTATGCTAACATAACTGTTTCCATTTCTTAATTCAGAAAGGTGAATTTTGTTACATTTTAAAAGATAATATAAAAATGTATAAAGAGTATATTTTGATATAATTTTATAATAAACTGAACACCACTATAAAAACAGTGTGGAAAACTCAACCATAAGGGCTAAAATGGGTACGTTTAAATGGAACTCCTGAAAGCCTTGAATAAAAAATAGCATATCTGTATTTAAAGAATTACATAAGTCATATAGTTAGATCTATAAGATAACAGATTCTATAATTACATTTTATTTTAAATTTTAAGTATTTTCATGAAAATTGTAATGTATAATATTATATATAATTATATATACATAAATATAACTAAAATATCAGAGTATAGTTGTATAGTTATGTCACATTAAAAACAATATTATTTTAAAAACAGATAGTACTTGTTTTAATTTTGGTGCTTATTTTAAATATAGATACCCACAATTTTTAAGATACTGAAACCCATACAAAGAAATGGTTAGTAGAAGTTTCATCTTCTCTTCAAGTATTTTAGTAATGACTCTTTCTTCAGACTAACAATGTGCTTATTATTGGGGAAATAAATTTCCCCATTAGATTTCACAGCTCTTAAGAAATTAGCACACTACATTATCTACAGACATATTTGCAAAGAAAGAGAGGAAGGTGGGGGCACTGGAGGAAAAGGAAGGAGAGAGGCAAGGAGGAGGGAAGGAGGGAGGGAGGGCAGAGAACGGAAATAGAGACATACTAACTTCCCAACATTTCTCCAAATAGGTAGTTATTTCTTAGAAATTGCGCTTACTTTCAAGATTCTCTGGTGGAGTTAAATATATAACCTCATTTTGTTCACTTGCTCATTTCTCAACCAAGGCTGAAGCCAAATAAACAGCCGTTAGAATTCACCAGCAAAACATTGCTGCAAACTTTCTTCATTTTGAAACTTTAAGAATGTTTCACTCCACTTTGGTAACTGCTCCTGACACAAGGCCTTTGAAACATGGCTTAATAAACGCTAATGGGTCATGGAGAACTTTGAAATGCAGATTCATTAAGATTCTGAGGAGCTGTGTTGTGCGTCGGAATGAGAACTGATGGAGAGGTTGGGGCTAAACACATAATTTTATGAAATATGAGGAAACATAAGGGGTTTGTTATGACGCACATAACAATCAAGGACCTGTTTCTTTTTAGCAAGCTCCTAAAAAGTCCCACCCGTATAATTATTAAATAAAAACACTCACTTATTCAGTACTCAGCTAGCTTTTAAACTCTGAATAAGAGAAGTACACAGTGAGAGAGGTACTTAGATGGTTTCCTTGGATACTGGATGATGCCATTCAGGTCTATGTTTTATCTGAAAGTGGTGCCCTGCAGAGAAATGAGGCTTGTTGAGTGACTGTTTATACATAGTAAGTAAATAGGAACCTTGTTTATTTTACAAAGCATTTTTTATTTTGACCCAGATTTTTTTTTTTTTATCATCACACCCAAGCCTTGTAAACAGCAATAATGGTAGAACAGGTACATTGCCCAACTCCCATTAAGGGCACTAAAGAAGTCATGATTGTCAAAGTGGAAGGTCCGAAGGGTTTGTCCAAACATGCTCCTCCTTAGCGTGCTTCCTACAGCTGGACTGTTATGTTTGTGCCAAATAAATCTGTGAGCACTGCCTGTCTTTTCCTTACAGCGGGATTTACTCTAAGCCCTGAAGCAGAAATGAGTCTAGAAATTTATCTTCCAACAAACGATAAATGTCCTTACCTTAACTAATCAGGAAAGAACTACAGCCATAGTGAGCTTCACACAGGAAGGGTGTCTACAGGCATGCGTTTCCATTCGAAGTGCTTTTTAACTGCCATGACCACCTAGCTTGACTCCAAGGTTCCTGGAGCCTCATGCTTTCTAACTTGGGAGGGTGACTAATCCTGCCTATGTGATAAGTTCTAACCTTCTAATATTTCTTTGGACTGAAGAGAGAAAATGACCTGTGGTAAAGAACGGCAACTATAGTGCTTAACACAGCTTAATAACCTGAAATGAAGTAAGCGTGTGCTATGTTTCCATTAAAAAACTTTCCAGCCACAATTAATTGAACAAAACCTTGTCTTGTTCCAAGATTATTCTTGGAAATGTAATTTTAAAGCCTGTGTGAAATGAGGAAAGTTAACTTTTTTATACCATATGAAAGCAATTTCATTTTTTTAGGAATGATTTTGGATAGACTTCCGATTGAATATTTTCCACTGGAACTAACAGTGTAGAAGGTTGTGGTGGGGGGAGCGCAGTTCTGTGTTCTTTTGCCAGCACTGACAAGGGTCTGGTTGTCAATGATACCTTTACAGCTAAATTTACCCCAGAGTGACATGAGCAGGTGCACTTGGGCCTGCCAGACACTTGTGCAGAGGGATCACGCATCTCACCGCTTGACGATCAAGGGGGCAAAGCCTCCGTCTTCATAGAAAAGGAGAGGAGGCAAACACAGCCCAAACTGGGGGGTTTCTCTTCAAAGCCAGCTGGTCTGGCTTTATTCTACAGGAATTTTTTTACCTGCCAGAGTTTGGACAACAAAGCCCTCAGCAGGTGCTGAAGGGCACAACTTCCTGGGGAAGCAGAACGGCACTGGTGAGTTTTGATTGCCAAAATATAATTTTTTTAATCTCTAAAAGTTGGTTCTGTTATCTTAGAGGAGACACTGCTAAGGTACCTATGTTCACAAAGCTGATGAGGGCTGTGCAATCAGACCCAACTACCCAACTGTAGGTTTGCTTGGTGCACATAAACAGCTTTTAACATTTGATGATTTTTGAAATTATACAATGATAATTTGTAAAAAGAATAATTTATGGTTTCAATATTTCTCTCTGATTACTACTCTGGATGTGTGAAGACAGAGAGTGTATCACACATGCTATGTGAGGCTACATCATAGCACTTTAGTTTCGCTTGAATCTACTTCTCATAATCTTCTTTGAGTAAAATGTAAGTTTTCAAAAAATTTTCCATAATCAAATTGTGAAATGGTACACGTTCTTCTCAAAAACTCCCATGTGTTATTATTTAAATGTGTGCATATCATAGGAATATGATTGGAATATAGAGCTAGTTTTATTTAATATGCAGTAAAATCAACTAAGTGAACAGAAAAATTAATAATTAAAAGGAACAACATTTTTCATTATTTTAGCAGGCTTTTTATAAGAATAAAATCTTTAGGATAAATGATCAAGAGAATAATAAAGAGAGTTTTACATCATTTATTTCCAAAATTAGAACATTTATATATTTTGGTATTTTTTATTTTGTGAATTCAAAAGTTGGGTAAAAATATTTTTTCAGAACAGGATTTTAATTAATGCAAAAGAAGGAAAAATGAGACCACATGTTAGGACATATTTTTAAAAAGTGATTCTATTTCAAGGACTCATTCTTTTAACTATGCTTCACAGCATTTCTCTACAAATTGTTGTATTATAGCAAATTGAAAACATTTATTTAAGCAAGGAAGGAGCTCAAAGCTAGGGACTATACATAGCAAACATATGAAACCATTTTAATAAGTAAATTCCATATTCACAAGCAACATGGGCTAATGAATGTAAAAGACACAACAGCATACATTGATCAAGAATGCTATAAATTATTATGCATTAAAATCAATTTTCTGGGCTGTGGGGGGTAGGATTGGTACTTAAGAAGAGAAAAGCTTCTACAAATATAAATTACTAAGACTATGAAGTAAATGTTTTATTCTGATGGTGCCATAAATAATTTTCAATCTACATGTTTAATACATATTTGTAAAGTGGGAAAAATATAAAATCTGGCTTTTGTTAATGATTATCTTATCTAAAACATTTTTAAATCAAATGTGGTTGGACATGATATAAATTTATAAATACTTTTTAAGCAGGCATGATTTCCCTTTAAAAATATGAAAAATTGTTTTAAATTACCAAAAATGGTCTATGTAACCAAAAGCCAAATACTTAAAAAAACAGACTCACCTAAAAACATTTTTGAATACATATTTTTTAGAAATTAAAACTCAGGTTTACTTTAACTATCAAGTATTGCATATGGACTGTTCTTCTGGTTATCAGAGCATATTTTTATTTAGGTGGAGAGTGTTTTGTGAGCTGCTGCCACAGGGGCTTTGTCATAGTTTGTTGTTGATTCTGACACAGGACTTACCAAATCCATTAAATTTTTAAAAATCTTCCCAGCCTCTTAAAGGAGACATGTGAAAAGAGGTCATTTTCCTGGTTTGTTAAATGCTATGTCCTTAAAGAACCAAAGCACTTGATTTTGAAAATGAAAACTATTACAACTCATAAGCCATGTAGGTATGCTTCAGAATTACACTTAATAAGTTTTCGTGTACATTACAATTGGAAAAATTTACCCCATTGTCGTTAACAAACACTCAAACAGGAATAAAGAAACAAAAACTTCTGCCAAACTACTGTTTATAACTTTCTATGGAGAGTTCAAGCTATTTAAAAAAATGTTAGATAGAGTCTGACTATCCAAACAGTCTAAAACTTATCATTTGCATTGGGCCAGGAATTAAAGCTTTGAAAATTTCATGTTTTCTTTGAATTATTAGGAGCCATACGTTCCTATTACCATGCAGTAATATGTGTGTCCTTCCTAACAAATCTTCAACACTAGGTCACAAGAAACCCATGCTAACTCTTTTCATCTGTCTGAATTGGTTCCTTTAGCAAACCTTAGCGACAAATTTTGGATTAAAATGGCAGTGACTCATACCTGCCCTATGCATTTAAGGGATTCCTTGAAATACATCTTCATAATTATAAAGATAATTCTTTCAGTGGTGGAAAATTCATCATTCACCTGTTTGAGTGGCTACTCAAAAGGCTTTTTGTTCATTTTCTGTATTTATAAGAAGGATACTGATTCTTCCAGTAATTAACAATAATTAGTAAACTGCATGGTGCCTGACCATCTATTTAAGTAAAAGAGTTTACTTGTAATAATTTAAAGAAACAAAAAATATGTTGGCAGCTTTATACGTATATCCTCATTGACCAGACACCTGACCGACAGCTGTCATCTGTCCATGGGCCAGATGTAACTCAATAAAGATAAAAATGGCATATTACTCATCCCTGTTGATAATACCTGGTGCCAGGAAGTTTGCAAATCCAAATACCTGGACTACAGACAGGACAAATAAAAGAGGATCACCCCTCTGCCTAGCAGGCTGCTTCCATCACAGGTTTATTTTCAATTCCTTCTTACTTGCCCAATTTCTCTACATGTCTATACATGCTTCACATGTGGAGAGAGTTAATTTCCTTAAAGGAACTTTCAGAGGTATGTACACACCAATCAAAACACTAAGCACGCAGGCAATGCTATCCCTCTATCAAAGATAGGTGTCTCTCCTTGAATCACATTCCTTTTGAGCTCAAGAATTAAGTTCATAAAAGTCACAAGAGGAAGACTTTGAAGCTCCAATTTCTCATTTTAAAGAAATTCCATAAAAAAATAGAATTGAAACTAACTCAGTCTCAGTGTGAGTAAGTGAACACAAATTTGGACTTGTCTCTCAGTTCCAAGTTCAGTTTTCTTTGACTTCAAAAATGTGGACAATCACATACCAAACAAAAAGAATCACATGGGAAAGTTGCGTGAGTATAGCTACTTTCTAAGCCTTTTTCAGTAAGTAGAAATATCTATACAGGAATGTATATATATAGTTTACCAAAGTATGGTACAATATGCTGTAAAGCATTAAGAACATTAACACATTGAAACATGCCCATTTTGAGCTCCTTTAGAATCTTTTCATCATTCAAGTGGATTTGCAAACTAGAAATACCAATGTATTTGAAATAACAGAATTTTTTAAAGCACAATCATAGGCTTTAGAAAAATAACATAGAAATCAAAAGTTTAGTCTGGTCTTTCTGAAAGATTGGAGAAGAATTAAAAATACTAAATATACCATAATATAAGCATACATATAGTACACAATGCAGCATACTAAAAAACTGACTCAACAGTTAACTAACATATGTGTGAGAGTGCTAACTAACAAACCATAGTGTAGATCAATGGCTGCATCATCGCAGTCTCAGAGGTCATACTATTCAATAACATCTTATTAATGTAAGTATTTGACATCAAGTCCAATAGTATTGATTATATCAACTACTATTGATATATTTTTTGATAATCCCATACAAGAAACTGGCCCAAGATTTAAAAATCTAAATATTCAAACAAATATTCATTTTCTGCCCTCTAGAAAGGAAATCATTTCAATTAAACAATACTTTCTGATTTTAAGGAATGTATCTTATCCTTGAACTTCATTTTTTTAAATTTATTTTTTTTGATGTTTCATAGTCTTTTTTTATTTTTTTAACTTTATTTATTTATTAAGGATTTCTGCCTCGTCCCCACAACCGCTTCCCATTTCCCTCCCCCTCCCTCATCTGCTCGAAGAGCAATCAGGGTTCCCTGTTTATTTATTAAAGATTTATGTCTCTTCCCCACCACCACTTCCCATTTCCCTCCCCCTCCCCCAATCAATTCCCCCTCCCTTGAACTTTAAACCAGTATTCACAGGTAGGAAGTAGAGCTTTGACATATAGACAGATAAATTACAAAAACAAAATTGGGGGGAAACAAAATATAGATATAAGATATGGATAAAAATGGTGGCTACTATTTCTCTTCAAAAGATTGTTTTAGAGTAATCAATAATGGGGCCATTTAAACTAAATTTTATATATTTATAATTTATAAATGTTATTTGCTTGTTTTATTATGTTAATCAACAGATCATTTGACAATATGCAATAACAGCATACAAATCAATTGCAAAAATATTATTCTGCATACAACATCCATTTGAAGCTACTGTTGAAAACCGGGGTATCGAAAGAAAATACACAAAATTGTATCTTGCATCTTAAAGAAGTTTTTACGGAAGTGAATTGTCCCTTGTCTGCTTCGAAAGGATAACAAGTATTTCTCTCTAGAGCTGATGAATATGGTTCAAAGAACACCAGGACGGAAGTGGAAGATCAGAGTCCTCGGCTCTGTTTCACTGCTATGTACTTTTGTGACTGAAAAGAAGTCACTTAATCTCTGTGACACAACTAAATGGATTAGGGCTTTTGGGTTAGTTACACACAAACCCTAAGGAAAGAACTTACAGCTAACCAGGAGAGTATTCTCTCAGCTTCACGGGAGGTGTCCCAAAAGGACTATGGGCCATTGTGGAAATCTTAGCTACAATGGCATGTCCTGTCTTCTCCATGAAAGTACTCCTAATAAAGGAAATCCCAGACCAGCACTGAGCTGCGAAGTTAAAGGGCAAAATGAAACAATTCTGCAGAGCATATTACTGAGTAAAGCACCTACGAGGGTGCCCTTTTTACATAACATGACAGTTCACATCCTCAACATCACATTACTACATGGAGCTCTGAACTTCAGTGTGTATGCCCACAGCTAAGTTGGATGGAAATCCAATGGATATTTAATATTTTCAGTTTCATGAAATGGAAGGAACAATTTAAATTAAAAAATATTTATGATACATAAATGCTGTAAGTGAACATAATGCTCATTTTGTAAGACAA